CCTAGTTTAATTTACAGTATTTTGTTTCGGCTTTGGCTGTTGCTAAGTAAGTTGATGATGATAATGACGACGACAATGATGATGATGATGAAGACTCAGCGACAGCTTAATACAGTGAGGTATCTAAATGTGGAGAAGATGATTTTATGGAGTTTAAACCAAGCATTTGAATGAAGATGAAATGGTGATTTTAGTTACTTTTAAGTATGTTTGCCGAGAGAGTATTTCAGAAACTTTTAGACTTCTATGATTTTCATACACAAGAATCCTTTTGGAATTGTAGAGAACAATTGGAAAAATATATCTGCTGGCAGTGGTATAGAAGAAAATCCCTTCCTTAGAGGTAGAGGTTAGATTAATCCAGTCTTGTGTCAGTGGTTCCAGCTGCTGGTGTTGTCATGCTACGTGAGATATCTTTTCAGCAGTGTTTAACCTTAGCCAGGATTAAACAGCATTGCCTACCTGAGTACTGAATTAGAACCACAATGTAATGTACCCAACCTTTGACAATTACTCCCAGCAGGACTACGTAACATGTCACACAGCTCCTATCATCTCAAACCCTTATCAAAATTATCATTATCAAAATGATATTGGATTTATTGTACTCCATTGTCCACAGTTCTACACCCATTTGAAAATGCTTGGAATGTGGTGAAAGACTATATTTTTACATCATGGATGTGCAGTTAACAAATTTGGAGCAAATACATGTTACCATGTTAATGTGAACCAAAACCTCTGGAATTTCGTAGACACTGTCAGTCTGGACCAGAATTAGAAGCAGTTCTGATGGCAAAACCATAAACTGAGAAAGTGGCTGGTAAGTTTATATGCATATGTTAGATTGCCTGACAGGAGTGTGTAAATGTTCACCGGAAGCCTCCCTTTAATGAAGCACTGTATGTAATATAAAGCGAGTCAGATTGGATGAGGAGATAGGGATCTATGACAGTCTTCTTCAGCTATTGTTTTGAAATTCCAGGTGTATGCAGGTGAAGAAAACTTTTTTTTGAAGTTAATGTGAATATACTTAAATTAGCATGTGTTTTTGTATCTATTTCCTCACTGGATGAGCTAAGAAATGTGTTTGTGAAATACAAGCAATTTTACCTGACAGCCATTCTAAGAAATGTACCAGTGTGTACTTTTCTCACATTACAGTTCCTTTGCTTACATATAAGGGTCCTTTGGCAAGTGAATCCCAACAATATGCTCCAGTGCACACAAGATTGTTTTTTATATGTTATTGTTCTGGTTTGTTATCGTGCAAGAGGATGGTAGCATGTTAAAACAACGCTTTGAGACAAAGATGGGGGAGGCCTGTACACAATCTAGCATTGATTCTTGTTACAGTTAGGTGCAAAGTTAGAAATGTATGATTGATGAGTGATGTGGCTAAAAGAGCTGAGATGCTGCTGGTACAGGGTAGCATATCAACACAAACTATGGTAGTATAGAAGATGGAGAAACTAACAGTGGGAACCTATTTGTTTGTTGTTAGTATTGGTGAATGTAACCAGTTAAGTTTTAGTAAAAAATATTTGACACTTTTAGTTTGCGAATTTAGCTTGCGTTTTACTGTTCTCTCAATGTCTGGATTCTCTCTGGGTACTCTGGTTTCCTTCTACTGTCAAAAAAACATGAATATTAGGTAAATTGGTGTCTCTAAATTACCCTTTGGTGTGAGTGTGTGCATGGTTGTGTGTAATGTACTGGTGGCCTGTCCAGGGTGTACTTTACATTTTACTCATGATTATAGCTTTTTTATACCAAGAGCTGCATTTATGGATTACGGCATTGTAATATCTCGTTTAGAGCATTCTACATAGCATTGTTTAGGCATCTAAGAACATTCTGTGAGTGGATCATTTTAGTTTTCCTTTCCTGTGGGGTGTCACAGGGCTCGGTTCTTTGCCCCTGCCTTTTTCTTTGTATCTGGTTCCATTTGGCCTGTTTTTAAAAAGCAGAAACCCCCCTCATTTTCATTCTGATGACAGCATAGTGTATTTTAGTTAACAACAGGGCTATTTTTTTTTTTTATTCAGTGCACTGTCACAAATACAGAGAAATGAAATTAACTCTGCATTTAAACATTTGAATCTGGGGAGAAGTGGGCTGCCATTGTGCGGTGTCCAGGGAGCAGCGTGGGGTTTAAGGTCTTTGGCCAGAGTGGCAGTCTGTGGGAGTGGGCTTGAACTCAGAACCTCTGGTTTCCAAGCTCAATGCCCTAACCACTAGGCCGCCACTCCCCTTAAAAATGCATTTTATGTTTGATTGTCCTCAAGGACTATGAGGCTCAACATGCCTTAACTTTCTAAATGTTGATAATGGAATGACAGAGGTTTTGCTTGGTAGTCACTGAGTGTCCACTGGATCATACTCTACAAACCCTGGACCTCTGGCTTGATACATTAAACCTAGTGTCACTAACCGTTAGGTAAAATTGGATTAATGATATAAATCTTGACACGTAATTTAGTTTAGTGGTGAAAACCTTTTATCCACTGAGACCTGGCTAAACAGAGACTTATTTTCATTTAACTTAACTTTTAATAGGTAATCTATGCATATTTAATAGCTTACCTCAATGACTGTAACACTCTATGCTTTAGTATCTCATAAACATCCCTATCTTGTCTCCTGCTGGTACAGAATACTGTAACAGGTAACTAAACTAATCGATTTGCCCTTTTTAATTTCCTCTTGTAATATTTAACTTTTTTATTTTTGTGTTTTACAATGAAAATGACCATGTATGTGTATGTATATGAGGTTACAGTGGGAACGATGGAACCTGGAGATGTTCCCTTACTCTCTCATTTAATGCACCAACTCTGATCTAAATAGGTTAATTATTCCAGCTTTTAACTGCCATTGAGATTAATAATAGCACAGTTACAGACCATGTTAAAAATTCCCTATTGACATTATACATATCTACCAGATTGCCCTCAAAGTCTTCCTGAATGTGACATTTGACCTCTGACCTTCCCCGTAATTCATTGTGGCCTGTTGACGTGTGAGCTGTGTCTTAACCAGCTTTTTCTCTTTACCGTTGGCATTTTTTCCTTCTCTGTCTGAGGCCCACCAGGGGAGACGGTGTGACAGCCTAGTGTCCACTTTCAAAGGCTCATTTCCTCCTGTTTTTTTAAGGGGTTTAGATGGACTATGGAGGCCTGAGAGGCATTCATGCAAAACGGGGACCAATTCACATTCCCACAACACAAACAGCGGGAGTTTTTTCTGCCTACATTAGTTGGGATCATTGTACACCTATTTTAAATATTACCAAAGTATGTCTTAAGACATTAACAATACGAAAAAACACTAGAATTAAGTTATTCTGAATTTCACAGTTTAAAAAAAAACTGATAAGGATTTTTTCCCCAGCATTATGAAGATAATAGAACATTTTACTGGATTCAAAGTTAGCTTAATGCTCATCATGACCTTATCTGTGAACTCACACCTTCATGTTGATGAGAGCTGCAGATAAGAGGTTTTGGAAAAGATTGAAGGTGCTTAGGGATGATGTATGAGAGGCCCATCCATCCTTTACTCTCATCTCCACACACAAACACACACAGATGTTGGATCATGTGTCCTTTGGACAATGTAGAAGCTTTTTGATGTGGACACACATCAACATAGAGAGAGCTGAGAGAGCAGGTAAAGGGCGCGAGTGTGTTTGTTTATACCCACAGCTGTTGTAGTTGAAGTGCTATTCAAGTTGAGAGATTAATATGAAAAGCAAGTAAATGTGAGATTTTTTTCCTGCTCTGCTTTTGCAAATCAGTTCTGGGCTGTATAATTTTCTGTGATTTTGTCATCAGCACATTCAACTTTGTACAGTAGAAAGTTGAATGTGATTTAATGTGTCTTTATGTTTTTTACACACTTTTGCATTCAATAAATACAATTTTTTGACATTGTAAATAAACAGCAGAAAACAATCGTATAAATGCTTCTCTAATATTTCACCATACCTATTTTCATTTGATAAATGTTTATTCTAAACATTCCGAAAACATTAACACTTAAAGGTAAACCATGCATTCTCTTTAAAAATTGCATTTATGTAAGGCAAATAATATTATTGATGTAATGCAATGTTTCCAAAGTAATATTTATTTACTTATCTGTATTTTCTGGCTGGATGGGGTATCTGGATTCATTTTCTATAAATATCTTTTTATTTTATTAATAGAAAAACTGAATGGATTTTACTGACATAGATAATAACCTCTCAGTATATCTTAAATTAAACTATATAAAAGCCACATAAGGTTTGGTGTTGTTTATGATCTAGCTTGATATTCCTTCATTTCACAGGGCCATTGAAACTCTCCCACCCATTGTACTGATATTATGTTTATATATTACTTGATCCTAGGTACTATGTAATGTTTAGTCATAACTTTAGCAAGTATTCTTTTAGTTGTATTTTTTATCATAACAAAACCATGAAGTAAACAAATAACAGATTTTTTTTCTTTTTGATAATTGACAGTAATTACTTTCAGACTGTATAGGCGGCTATTTGTTGTTTAGACTATAAGTATGATTTTTGGTCTTTTAGATACAGGAATTAAACTTTTTATCTCATTATTTACCAGATTATGTTAACTCTTCTTTAAAAGGTCAGTATCATTATAGGAACTGTATAGATTTTGCTCTCCAGGTACCCCGGCTTCCACCCACAGTCCAAAAACATGATGGTTAGGTTAAGTGGCTTCTCTAAATTCCCCTTAGGTGTGAGTGTGTGCGTGAATGGTTGTTTGTCTTTTTTTTTGCGATGGACTGGCGACCTGTCTAGGGTGTATTCCGCCTCTCGCCCATAGACAGCTGGAGATAGGCACCAGCATTCCTTGCGACCCTACTTGGGATTAAGCGTGTAAAGAAAATGGATGGATGGATAGATAGATTTTGTTAAAATTAATTGTATTAATTTCTAGCAGCCTAGTTGGTTTGATACCAAATATGATATTTTTTTTCAGAGTGCCAGTCAGCTAAGGCCCTGCAGGTTCTCACAGCCCTCTGCCAGGGAAAGAAGAGCTGTCGGGTCCAAGCCTCCACCAGAGAATTTGGTGATCCATGCTACTCTGGCACTAGGAAGTACCTTAGTGTTATCTACACATGTGGTGAGTCACACAGAATGCTTACTTCCACTAGGGGGTGGTACTTTCTTACTTATACAGTGTGAATGTTCTTAGTTTTATTTGTTATTCCATCTGTTTTTGTTTTATTTACTTTTTTGTCATTTGGCATTAAAATGCACCATACAATCTACTTCTTTTTTGGATCCTCAGTGGTTGCAAATATCCTTTATTTATTTTTTATTTATTTGGGTCATTTTCAAATAAATCAAAAACACTATAAAAGGCTTTTGAAAGATTGCGGATGTATTTGTTTTGTGCTTTAGACATTTTTCTGTAATTTAAGGAAGGATTGTCTTTCCTCCAATTCTGTTTTAACTTCAAATCCATAGATGAGATATAAAGATAAACTCTTCCGTCTTTATCTATTCTCTAGCCTCAGGTTAATGCTGAACTGTCAAGGCTGTAATTCATTAACCGCACACTTGGTAAAATGTTCAAAAGGTTTAACACGCACACACATAAACACGCACTTACAAGTTTGCCTCAAGCCTCAAATCGATCAGTGAGCACCATGACGTGGAGCTTTTCAAATCCTGGAGAACATTAGCTTAAGAAACCCCAAATTAGATGGATTCTGCTCCAAGGCTTGGCATGTCAGTGGTATTTTTGAGTTCTAATTTAAAGGTCTGCATTTTATTTCATCTTTAACTGGTCCCTCTGGGCTGGAAAAAGAGATTTTGGTGCATTCATTTGGTTTGCAAATGTATCTGTGTGGATTGAATTTTCTGCTTTTCTTCAACAGGTTTAATAATTTCAGTGCACTGATTATGAATCCTAAATTGACTGGATTTTAACTTGTTTGTTTTCTGGATTTCAACACCCATATGTCAGTAATCTGCAAATACTATAAGAAATTATTCAAAAAATCCATGCAGCCTATGGCTCATTGACCACCTTCCACCACAGACAAAAACATATAGACTGTTGGCTGTGTTTACACAGTCTTTTGGCCTAAGTGTCTGTCTGACCTTCCTTATCCATTACTGATAACTCAACAGTCAACCTTAAAAGCTCTGGTGCTGAACTTGAGTTTGTAGATATGTGCCTGTGTAAAGGTCTTAAGAGTAATGGCAGAAAGAGGAAGGACATGGGATGTTAGCTTGCTATCTTAACGGCATCAGAGCGGTTAGAATTGTTGGGTCTGTTAATGTGCAGCTTGTTGAGGGTGGGCTGGGGGGTCTGTGGTGGGAAAAGGAGATATTTGAATGTGAGTATGTCTGTCTTATATAGGCTATATGAAGTCATTGGTGGCTCTGGGCTCAGGCAAAGTGGTAATTAAGGAGGATCCTCTTTCATTGGTGGTTGAGTGTATGGGCCAGCACATCTAGACTGGCTTTCCATTCCTGGTTTGCAATGTTTACATCTATGCATTTATTTTTCTGTCTTTTCATCTGGTTCCGTAATAAGATGAAAAAGAGTGGAAGCTTTCATTTTCTGAATAGGCTCTTTTAACATCATTTCCTTAAAAAGTGATATGTGTGTTAAAGATTTATGTTTTGCACAAAACGTTTTAAAGCACAGGAAAGGTTGCATGGACCACACTTCAATTAGATGGGCCCATTGCAAATAGTTTGCTTTCCAACACCAATATGTCTTTAATCGTAGGAGTTTTTGAAGCCTGTTAGAAAGACATGGTCACAGCCATCCTTTGCGTATCATTGACCACCAAACTTAAATGATTTGTTTTTTCCATGTAGATATTATTGACCACTTCTGCAACAAGCAGTTGAAAAATAAATTAGTTAATTATTCATAATCATCAACCTAACATTAAAGAAGACAAAAACAGCATTCATACTATTTTGTTTGTTTAATGGGTGACAGGGAAAAGAAATTTGTCTTGGGAAGTAATCTAGGAGTTTCATTACAGATAGATTAAAGCTTAACTAAACTCATTTAATATTGTTATTAATCTATGCATACATTAATGTAATGTGGAACCATAACTGATTTAAAGTGTAGTAGACAATTTTCACAGAAATTGTAAGTAAGTGGCATCCAATCGTTTTTTGATTAACTGGGCTTGACAAGACCATCTTTCCACCATTTCTGGCACTGGGTGAAAGAATCTACCAAATACACTTTGGTGTTATTTCTCTGCCTTTTTAAAAGTATGGTAGCATTAGAAGTGAGAGCAGTGGAGCTACAATTTGTAGCTGAAACCATACATAATACTTACAAAAACGACGAAGGGCACATTTGTAGACAAAGCACACGCACTGACATTAGATGTGCACATCACAAAGATTGAAATATGGGACAACCAATAAATACGATTGTCTCGTTGGCACTCAAAGCTGGAAAAGGTTCCCACATTATACCTTTCATTTAGACAGTATGGATAAGCCTCTATATATTTGCAAGTGGATTTGGAAAATCTGGTCTGTCTTCAGGGATCTATTTGGAAAATATGGATGTGGTGCTCGTTCGTTTTTTCCTGTTGTTACAGTGTAGATTGACCCTGAACTGGTTTTGGCACCTATTCATTTTTGGCCACCTCTTAGTGAACATAGGTTCCCGTATGGTCAGCAGAAAACTGAAAACTTTCTGACAACTGTCTGCTGCTGTATGTTGGTCTGTCACATAGAATTATCATGAAATAATCTGAAGTTTCTGGTCATGATAAGAAAAAATATCTTAAAGTGCAAGCAGTGTGAAAATATTTCAAAGGCACAGTGATTCCTTAATAAATGTGCATAAGTATTATTTTGATTTACAATGATAATTCCTGCCCAGCCCTGACCTGCCTATAATTTCAGAAGCTTCACATCTCCAACTTTTTCGCCACTTGGCCCGAGGTATAGAGTTACTCCTTAGAAATAACGCAGATGCAAATGATCTGGAACTCTCCATCAGTCTCCCTTTAGCTTACAAACGCTCTGGCCGGCCGCTGCTGCCAGGCTTTATTTGCATTCCCTCCCTCAGGAGGAAATCCCTGTGATTTGTTTGTCAAAGAAATGCTAGAGAAAATGTAACTATATAAAGCTGATGAGACTGAATTTAAAAACAGATTTTTAACCATGATTTTTTTCATTATGAAAGAAGTAAATATTTTCTTTAAATGAGGCTATGTTAGACTGATAAATGAGTCTTTTATGAAAAATTCATTTAAGTTAGCGAACTTTTGAAGTTTCTTTTCTCCAATGTTTAGTTAGAGTCAAAGGCTGACCTGTGTGCAGATTCCTCGGTGGCCATAGTCAAAAGATATTTATACTCCTAAAGATGTGTTTTTACTAAATTCATGCTATATTTGAGGTAATCTAACAACTAATTCATGTTGTTAGAAAAAAAGGTGCTAAGACACCCTGCAGAGAGAGTTCATTTAAGCAACTTTTCTCATAAATTTCTGACCGGTAAATGCAGAGCTTTGCTTTCTGACTAAACTCTCTCTTCACCACAGACCTGCAGCATCCAAATTATAGCAGCAGCTGCACCAAACTGTCAATCACTCTCCCAATCCATTCTCTCCTCACTCATGAACAGGACAGGAGATACTTGAACTCCTCCACTTGAGGCAGGAACTCTCCTCTGACCTGAAGGGGGCAAGCCCCCCTTTCCCAGACGAGAACCATGGCCTCAGACTTGGAGGAGCTAATCCTCATCCCAGCCCCTTTACACCCTGCTGCAAACTACCACAGTGCAGAAAGCGAGCAGTACTACTTCATCAGAAAAGCACAGGGAGAAAATCCAGGAGTCACCAACCCCTTTAGCCACCCTAAAATCCTGTCTATAATGAATAGTAACTTCTAAAAGACTGTACACTAATACTAAATATACATAAAAAAGGTTTGTTGAAAATCCTTCTAACCATAAATCTCTATGTAAAGTGATATGACAGACTATTTTGAACTGTATGCCATTGACTATTATGAAGAGTGAGGGAAAACTGGGATAAACTGACCCAGTTGCTAACAGGGAATTTACTAAATTGTTTGTTCTGCTGCTTTTCATACAGTTTATGGCTGTTGTCGCTGTTGCCCAGCAAATTCCAAGCTTTAGACTATAACCTCCCATTAGAAAGAAGATTCTTAGCAAAAGCCAAATGTACTTGTAAATTATTATATTTGCTTCATACACAATGCCTGTTATATTGCTTCAACTTTAGCACTCGAAAAATCCCACTACAATAATTCTGTTTACTTAGAGAACCTTACCTTACTCTAAGGGTTTAGTGGTCCCTGTGGACTTTTAGTCATAGTAACTGACAGTTGCTGAGTCAGCCTTTTATCACCTGAAGAACATCTTCAGGAATAAAGGACTAATGTACAAGTAGGATCTAGAAAAGCTCATTCATGCCTTTATCTGAGAATTGATTGCTGCAAAAGTGTCTTTATAGGTTTAACTAAAGAGTCCATAAAACAGCTGAGGCTGATCTAAAACGCTGCTGCTCATTTTCTCACTAGAACTAAAAAAAATAGAGCTTATCAGCATGATTCTGAAGTGAATAGTCTTCATTCTGAATTGTGCCATACAAGTAAACCTGCCGTGCTTTGCTTCACCTTCAATCAAATCACATTCCTCCATTATGCTGTTACGTTTTGTTGCATAACTGTTCCTTTTGTCTGCGTATAGAATTCAGTGAGTGGCAGAATGATGGACCTTGCTGTTGGTTTTTAACTGAAGGCAACCCCGGCATTGGAGCCTGTGGTTTTTTAGATATGACTGCTTTGGGGAGGACTTACATGTAAAAGGGGGAAAGCGGGAGATAAAGATGTAATTCAGAAACTTGCGGGTTTGAATAGTCCCAAATGGTTTTGCAGAAGGGAACCAAGGCACATAGACACAGATGAACAGTGAATCCCAGCCTGCTTGTCCACATTCACTTCATGTCAGCAGAGGAGACTGTGGGGAAGATGTTTATTTTGGCCCGGTTGTATGAAGCTGCTGTCCAGCCAGGAAGGCAGTAGCTGCTTCTGGGACTCATCATTCGCTCTCATAGCTCATTCTATAGCTGGAACTTTGGTCAGCACAAAACCCCAAAC